GTCATTACTAAGAAAGCAGCTACACAAAGTTGTCTAAAGAATTTTTTTCTATTCCTTTGTGTCTTTTTTAAGATAAAAGAATCCACAGTAAATCATTAAGTAAAAACATGACCATGTTAAAGTTTACCAAAGTATGAAGCATATTTAAGTTAGACCTGGAACTGAAATATGCAAGGTTATATTTAACAAAGATGAATATTTTGTTTCATACCCTAATTAAAAACATTTGAAACACGACCAGTTTCCACAATACCTGATTTCTATTCTCTTTGCCTAAGCCTTGTTACTTAACCTGTTTGAAAAGGACAAGTAACAGTTTTCTCAATGTTTTCAATCTCAGTTTGAAAAGATGAAGAAAGCAAAATAAAGATTTTCCCTTTTTTTTTTTGTGAAGGGGGTGTTTGCTTATGATTTTTTTCAATGTTCAAAAGCAGTGGGTGTGTTTTGATGCTACCAATGAACCTCACTCATTCACTCACATTCCCAGCTGCCCACACAGAGACACACAAACACCTCACCTTTATAGTGGTATAGTGAGGAGAAAAAAAAATAAAAATACTATAATCCCACCTGCATCACGGGAATAGAAAGCACAAAGGCTAAATCAAGTATTAGAAATTATCATGATGCATAAAATTATTTTAAAGGAAATAAACCTCAAACAATGGTGAAAATTTTCCTAACACAAGAATCAGCCTCTTCTCAGAACATTTTTTCGCAAGAGTTCATGCTACTGAGCAGTAGAAGACTCACACACCACAGGCCTTGGCTTTCATGTGACTTGGTGGCACCCCTTGTTTTCAGTGTCCAGGTGATTTTTATCTGCACCAACTTCTTGGTGTGGTAAGTCTGTTTGCTACCCCCTCCTCGAGGAGCTTTCCATCCAAGTGACAAATTAGAGACAAGTAAAACATGTCTTTATTTTTCTCAAAGCATGGAGAAATGCAGTGGTTCTGGCTTTGGTTTCTTTCACACAAATAGACACAAAATTTATTACATTCTACTGCCTGAATAAGAGGGATGAGGAAATTTAGGCACAGGGCTAGGATGACATTTTTCTGTGTATTGCTCTACTCAATTTCCTTTGATTTAACCAGTGAAAAATGCTGTGTTTTACACAGCTTCCTTTCAAAACTTAATCTAACCCAAATCCACATTAAACTGGTCCAAAATAACTTCAAAATTTTGTGAATTCTTTCCAACTTTGTCCTGGCTAATTTAAGTTGGAAGCAAGCAATGAAATTCAATACGAAGAGATTTTTAAGTGATTTCTAGTTCAAAGGGGAATTTTGCACTTTCCAGGCCTCTGTTGGTCTACTCACGGTATAACAGTGCATGCCCCCACCATCTCAGGACAAGACCCTCTGGCTGACAAATCCCATTCCTCTTGGTGACAGCCTCCCTTGCACTTAACCAGAAAAGGCTGTTTTAAATCTGTGTGAAAACTTTTATTAGTTTGTTTCTAAGCAATAACATTAAATATGCCACACAAGGTTGCCCATCATGTTACTGCCACAATGATTACTAATTAATATGTAAATATATATTAATATTATTACCAACAATTAAAATTTTAAAAACTAAAATTTCAGGACACTTTCCACTAGACCAGGTTGCTCAAAGCCTCATCCAACCTGGCCTTGAACACTTCCAGGGATGGAGTGTGATCATCAAACCAGTTGCTTACCCACCGAGTGGCCCACCCATCAAATCCATGTCTCTCTTACTTAGAGACAAGGATGTCAGGTGGGATGGTGTCAAATGCTTTGCACAAGTCCAGGTAGATGATGTCAGTCTTCTCCACATCCAGGGTCACCAGGTCTTATGTTTCCTTCCAGAGAGGGTCCACATTTTCCCTAGTCTTCCTTTTGTCACTGATGTACCTATAGGTGTTTTTCTTGTTGCCTTTGACAACCCTGGCCAGATTTAATCTATCAGGGATTCTCACCAAACTGGGATTTCCAGAGTATTTGAAATGTTTATGGAGCTATTAACTAGCTGGAAAACAAACAAACAAACAAAAACAAACAAAAACAAACCAACAAACAAACAATTAGAAGAGACATAGTCCTGAGTACTCCATGACCTAGTATTGAGGAGGATCCTGTAGAAACAAAAGCATGTTGGATTAAAATTGCTACTTGCTTCTTTAGAAACTGGAAAAATAAATTCTTCTTTACCTAAAAGAATTGTACAGACAGAACTGAAGAAGGAATATGACCCAGATTGACTTTTCTGGCTGTATCACTAGTCCAGTTAAAACTTTGTCTAATGCCTGATATCTATCTCTAATTGATTTAGTATCATTTTTAGTTTTCAATAATATGCAGATGTCTAACCCCAAGAGCCATTATGCACATAAACATTTTTAGCTCCCAGTTTGATATATGCTTTTTGGCCAATTAATTTTCAAAACATCTATTTGTAGTTGTGCCAAACAGTCTGCCATTTCCATACAAGCCTCCAGTTTATGCACCAGCACTTTATAAATCTCCACATAAAATCTTCCATGTTTATTTTTCTTAGGGAGAAAATCCCATTTAACAAGTGTGGGCCTCTTTTCTTTACATGTGTTTTAAGACTGAGAGACTAACTGTATTCTTTTCTAAGTCATATTGGTGTTTGGGCTTTCTTATTATGGGAAGAGAGGAAATAAAAATAGTACTAAAAATATATTGTATTTCTACTGCGGGCTTTATCTACACATAACCTAAATAACATAACCATCATTTTGTTGTCTGATGGTACTGGAAAAACCCTAATACTATGATGCTAGGAAGGGGAGAAAAAAAACTTACCTGGAGTTGCAGCTTATACTTTGTCTGCAGCCTGATCTCCTAAAGGAAGCCTACTTTGTTTCTTCAGATGTTTAGTTTCTTGATGTAAATTGTGGAGGATGTCTTTCTAGGGTGTCAGCAGATATTTTAAAATTTATATTATAAATTTTTTACTCTCAGTTTGATGCATTTCAGCTGATTAATTTCCAAAATGCTAGTTTGCACTTGTGACAAATGTAAATTTTTATTTGTAATTTACTCCTCTCATTCAGAGGATTGGGGTGCCCACCTTCTAGTCCAGGAAGGGAACCAGAAAAGCCAGGGCGAAAAGGGAAAAATACCACATTGGCAGCAGCATTCCTGGTCATCCAGCAGCCAGACATCAATATGACATTCAGTCAGTGCTCCACAGAGTTGGGATATGAGATCCATGGTGGCATCTATCCTAATTTTTCTGACCCTGTCCTTCTCCTGAAGGACAAGTAATCACAGAGCACAATGAGGACTTCACTGGTTATTGCTTTCACCCTGGTCCAGCACTGTGCTCCTGATGTCATGGGCATTAGGCAATGCTTCCAGAGTTAGCTTAGAGCCTTCTCCTTCATTTCTAACATATATGCATGGTTGCATGATGTCTTCCAGAGGGCCTCTACGCTGCCATGGAAGCAACTATGATTTTATCCTGGGCAACCTGGCTTTAAAATATTTAATCCAGGACATGTCAACAGCATAGCAAGAGCAAGCCTAGAGCCTCTGCATGTTCAAATATTTATGCTTCCTGGGCGAGTCTGGCAAGAAGTGCTGCCAAGTGTACTGTTATCAGTGTCCTGTGCTGGCTAATTTAAAATTAACTTGGGCACTGCCTACATGAGTTGCAGCAACAGATTTAACTGAAATGGTCCTGCCCCTCCAGGCAGGATACAGAGTTTGGGGGGAAGTTGGAGATGAGATGAATAATTTTTGTGCCCTTCAAACCCTGAGCTACTTCCCCAGCTGGAGACACCGATGTTGTACTTTCGGAGGCCCTATAGCAGTGCTAGGGAGAGAACCTTCACTCGAGGGGTGCAAAAGAGGAGCTTGACAGGCATTTTTCACAGTACCTGCACAGGGGATGCCACTGCCAGCTGTGACCAAGATGCAGAGGCTGGTGTTTCACCTCCGTGCTCATAAGGTGCCGAGAGCTGTGTTTCATGGAGTAAAATTAGGGACATCCTTCCCATTATTTCATAGGCAGGACAGTAGTTTTTAGTACTAGACATTTATCAGAAACATTTTAAAAAAAACAAAACCACCAAACACTGAAGAAATGGGAGGGGGAAAAATGAAGGGTTGTGTGAGTTTTCTCATTTTGTCTACAGAGCTTTCCCTGGGTGTTACGCCAGAGTTGGACCCCAATATTTTTGTTTGCTGGTTTTCTGTTGAGAGTAAAATGTTCAATTAGCCTACAGAGATCAAGCACAAGCATGAAAAAATATCAAGCACCTCGGAGTGTGTTTATTTATGGGATTGCTGCAGATGAATGCACACTATTGTAAAAACAATTCACTCATGTTCCAGTGCCCTTCTCATTACGTACACAGCCGTATCAGGCAAAACGAAAGCTTAATCTGTTTTCAGGAGAAAGCAAGAGCAGTTCCCTGCCACCGAAATGATCCGGCATGTAGGAAATCAAGGTTTCTGCTCCTTGATTATTTAAACAGAACACAGCCTACACGGTTCCTGAATCTCTCGAGTAAGCAGCTTAAATGTCACTCCCTGCTCTGCCAAATCACGTTTTGTGTTTGAGTAGTGCTCTACACTCATCCTGCTCCCTAACTGGCAAATAATTTCACTTAGTTGAGCCTATTTCAGGAGCAGGAGGAGTATTAGGAAAGTGACTCTTAAAAAGGAAAAAAAAAAAAAAGCAAGCAAGCAAAAACTTTTCCCAGCAGTCGCTTGGTGCTGTGCAGGATTATCTCAGGTTTCTAGTTTCCTAGGAACGTAGTAACTTCCCCATGGGTTGTTTAGTGGGCGGTGTTTTTGAATATATGCTAATTCAGCTTTCCTGACAGGGAGAGGAGCCGTGTCTCAGCTACACAACCCTCCTGACAGCCAACGGTGGTGAGCGGCTGCTGCAGACCCAGGCCATGTGCCCGTGCTCGCGCTCGTGACAGGACCCCTTTCCCTCCTGTCGGGGCTCATCAGCAACCCCGGTCACTTTCGTCACCGTCAGCGGGGCCGACATGTGCCTATGACGATGGAGATGAAGGACTCGGGCAGCGTGGTCCTGACAGCCTACCATCCCCACAGCCCAGCCAGGATCCCAGGCATGGAGCAGAGATTTGTGCAGGACATCCCCCCCAGCCATTCGCCCACCAGCAGGTAAAGCCCGAGGGATGGGGACCGGTATCATGCTCTGAAGTTTCGCTGGGGTCCGTTGTGGGTTTGGCTGACTGTATGTCAGCCCGAGAGCGTTTCCCGATCACTCGGCCACTTCACAAGCACTTCGCTCTCGCACGGTTTTTCCTCCACTGGGGAAATGATTCAGCCCAGCGATGCTGGTCAAGATTGGAAGGGGGAAATGTGAGTGCTTATTTTAAATGTTGTAAATCAACAGATCAGGCCAGTTTCCTGTCCAAGATACTCAACAAGACAATCCCCAGGAAAAAAGCATGTGAATCAGGCTTCTGCTCAGGTCGTTTAGGACTGTATTGCGGAAAGTTAGAAGGCTGGAGTGACTGAGTCTGGCACTCAGAAAGTTGATTCTGGCTTTGGTTTAGAGGATTATTTAATTCCTTCCCCATTCACCCACCAGGTCAGAACCAGCCCTTGCTTTTCTGTGAAATTGCCATTGCTGCTTTGCACACCCACAAACACACAATGGGAGATTGCATCGTTAAAGACTTAGTCTAAATAAGAAAATTCCTTTCGGTTGCAGGAAACTAAGCATTGTCTTAATTAATGTAGTCATGTATATGTTTACTTCCCTGCCGTGTAAGAATGCGTGTATTTGCACAGTTCAAAAATAGCAGTTTGGGCAACCTTATTGTTTTAGAAAATCTGACCTTTTTCCTAAATGTACGCATCTGGGTTTTGCAATATTCTCCAAAAGAAGTAGTATGAAAGCTCATACTCTAAAAAGTTGAAGAAAGTAGGAAATGTTATTCTGTGGCTTTACTGAAAAAATGGGAACTCAAGTCTGAGAAAACAGTAGATATCATTATCCCCAGGAATTAAGTCTGTGTCTTCTCTTAATAAAAATAATGATATTTGCTTCTTGTTGTTTATTTATAGTCCAATAGCTATTTTGTTTTCAATGTCATTATTTAGGTTAGCTGCATCTTCCTGTTGTTTGTATATTTCCCTGGCTGCCTCATAAAGATAACTTCTTTGTTCTGTTAAACTGTTGTTTGAGAGCAGTACAAAAATACACAATTTCATGTTAAGAAAAAAAAAAAACACACAACACAGTCTGGGCTTTTAGATGTAGTAAAAATGGCATTTGCTACTCAAAACACAGACCAGTGGTTTGGCATTGAGTTACTGGGGAGCATGTCACTTCTTCCCCAAGGAAGAATGCTAAACTCAATCTCCCTTTAAGTCTGAGAGCAACGGAAATGTGGTGTTTTGCTCTTTTTCTTGTAGGTGTGCTAATTGCTTTAAAATGCTATTGAAACTTAGGCTCAGGTTGTATGAGGGTTTAAATCACATACGTATCACCTAAGGAAAGCAGAAGTGCAAATTGCAGTTCCTGAAAGAAAAAAAAAGAGGATACTGATGTTTTGATGAAGAGCATATTTTTGAAGCTCCTGCCATGAGACCAAGACGTGTCTCTCTATATTTCTATTTGTCTGTAAGACTTTGGTGCCGTCTCCCCTTTCTTGTTCTTAGCTTCCTGCAGCTGTCTAATAGCAGTAGCCAAATTCTGCCATATGGGCAGTCAGTGACAGTCTGAGTTTCCAAGGCCTGTTCAAGGGAGGGATTTCATTAACCCAGCATGCAGCCCTCTGGAATGCAGAATCCATGAAGGCAAATGCATTGAGCATTTTAGCAAATGGCAAAATAGGCTCTGGCTTAATCTCTAGTTCTTCTTCTAAGAACTCTTTCCTGGCCTGCATCTTCTGTAGAGATTCCTCTGCCGCCGTCCTAATGGAAGAAGTTTTACTCTAGACCCCATGTTCCTTGATCCCTAGGGCAGCCACCAGCACTACAGCATGCTAATCCCTTAACCCTCCAGGAATATTATTTGAAAACACATGCAAGAAACAGAAGTGTTATTTATTTTTTTGTTTGATAACAAATGCAGATGGAACCTGGAGCCTGGCTTTCCTCTGAATTCTGTTGGGCTTAGTTAGATGTAGCTCTAATGAAGCCCATACTTCAGATATATCTATCTGTGAGAACAGAATCAGTCTTGGATATTAACCTTGGATTTGATAAACTGCTGTACAGCTCGCTCTCAGCTTAGGAATCAAGATCTATTGTTTTCTTTCCTCTCCCCAGAACTTTTCTCTTGCTTTGGCATGATGCTCCCTCTAGATCAGAAGAAGAGTTCCAATCACTAGAGCCAGGTTTGCGTATAAGCGTCTCCTAGCTATGTTTTCTCTTGCAAACACTTTCACTTTGGGAACCTTCTAAGCAGAGGTTTCTCACAGAAAGGGGAAGCTAATGTAGCCTAAGTCGGCTGTAAACTGCCCTGCTTCCCACTGTTTAAAAGACACTGGTATAAAAGAAGGAAAGATTTTTAAGTAGCCATCATGAACCTCTAAACAAATCAGCAATCTTAAACTCTTGCCAATCCAAGTACACAGCTGAAAAGACCATAGACACCAAAGTTTACGCTCATAAAGTAACTTAGATGGGCCAGACCAATTGGGCTCACATCCATCAACAACTTCTTGAAAGGCCAATCAGGCAGGCATCCTATGCGCACGTCTAAAACATACACCAGCAGCATTAGCATCAAGCATGAAGTATAGCAGCCACAAGTGTTTTCATCTCTAAGTCCAGTGGGAGGAGTCTCTATATACCCCAATATATGTTAAGGGATATTAGCTGGTGGCCTGTAAGGAGGACAAGAGAAGACGAGCTTTAACTGTTTTGAATGGAAGATGCATCAGTGTGAAAGAAGGGTGGTAAATTCATAGCTGTAATGAAGTAGAGAGCGGGATGAAAGTTTACATAGTGATGCTGTCACCAATTTGCAAAGGACAATTCTAGCTTCCAATGTTACTCTTGGATAACATTAATAAGAAGGTTAAGAAAACGGACCACAAATTCCAGCCATTCTCCAGAACAAGAGAGTATCGGGGGAGTAAAAATAGCTATGCTTATATACCTCGTCCTCAGCTATCTATATAATTCATTTATATCTTTCTCCTTTTGTTCCTTCTTGCAGACTTACCTGCTTTACCAGTTCTACACATAGGGTGAACCCTAAAAAATACACTGTTCAATTTGCTAGAGGTCCAGGAGAATTCTCCAGCCAAAACTTCCTTTAGTTCCATTAATGCAACTAACAAATTCATTTTCCATTTTTCTCATGGGACATTCAGGTACTTTCACTTCACTGGTCACCTGTTCTGCATGATTGCAATTGTTGATAACATTTATATTATTCATATATTTTTTTATTTATTGCTTTTGAGAACAAGGTGTTGGAGAGATCTTTGTTTTCTTTACTTGGCAGTTAGACTATATGGCATATGGGTATAGTGAGGAAGTATCTTTGTGACATCCCCCTCACTTTTTTTAAATCCCATTTATTAGAACTCATATGTCACAAGTACCAGTACCAAACACCCCAGAATATCACACTATACCTTTCAGTGCAGATACTGTCTCAGTTCAAAGATGAAAGCACCAATTTATTTTAAGTAATGGTCAACTTTTCCATCCTCACTTCAGAGAATAAAGGGCTTTGTAGTTGTGCACAGTTACTGCTCCTGGACTATACAGAGGAAAAGTGGGGCCACAGCCATGCATCTTCCTCACATCTCTTTTTTATCCTGCTAGGAGAAGCTAGGAGGAGTTATTCTTGGGCTCAGAGGAAACAGGCATGACCTCTATGCCAAATGGCCAGTAAGCTCTCTAAGGTAATTGTGCAATTAGGGGAGTACAAAGCATTCCTAAGTGAATCATACTCAAGCTTTCCTTGACTCAAGTATAAGAGGTAGTGAGTTCCTCAGCCCATTTGTTACTAGCACGGCTACCACCAAAAAACTCATCCTGCACTGCAAATCACAGATACATCCACTGTAATGAGGGGCTTACACTTACATGTGCATGAGATAAGAATCAAAGGAAAGAAACAGCACAGCACAGTTCACAGGCCTTGTTCCTGCAGAATGGGTTTAGAGTAGCTTCTAAAGGGCACATCAAGCTGTTTATACGTGAATAAACATCTTTATAATTAACACTGATGCAAAGAGCAGCATATATACTCCCAAACTTAGAAGCATGCTACACAGGCAAAGGACAAAGTGGATTTCAGCACCACTGAGCAACGTAGCAAAGACCCCTTAACTTCTCTCCTAGCCAAGGGCTAGTATGGCACTTCCAGTTGTTTCCAATGCCTTCATGTTCAGCATGTCTCACTCCTCCTGTTGTCAGGGGATGTTTTTCAGGCAGGTATCACTAAACTAGAGAATTAAAAAGAACAGGAAAAAATTCTGAAGTTGCGCTGTTGTTTTGAATTACGTGCTGGTACCTTCCAGGATCCCTGCTCTACCAGTATGAAACTTGCAGATTTGACATGGCACCAGAACCTTTTGCAGTATTCTTCCCTCTTGTGATCCCCAAGATACTACAGACATACGTCACGGTGAGATAAAGTGTCCTGAAATAATGACTGAAATAAAACTGGAAGAAAAACCCCTATGCACCAAAATTTGGCTTGTTTTTATCCCAACAGAAGCTGATTTTATCACACTAAAGTAAGGTTTGTATGCCCTGAGGCTGGGTGATCTGGGTTTAATTTTTGTCAGCGTTGACTGAGCAGCTCCCCTGCTCAGTTGTATACAAGTGATGTCAAGAATGTCTCCTAAGTGATGCAGGATAAACAACCTTAACTATTCTGGATGTTTATCTCCCTCTACCATAAACTTCCCCAGAAGACAAAAATAAAAAGCTGGCTCTTTTTCCACAGTAAATCTTGAAATTATTTGGGCCTCTTGCAGTAACTTGGACTCAAAACCTATGAAATTAAAATGTTAAAATGTACTAAGAGTGGTAAAAAATAAAACCACAGAACAGTAGTCTACAAAAAGACTGTATTGGCACAGGTTGGGCAAAAAATACATTTGTTGAAAAATCTCTTTTTATAATTTCTAGCAGCTTTATAAAACATTTTTAAGGTATATTTTTTATAGATTACTGTAATG